CAGCCACAGCAACTTAGATCCTAAGCAACTTAGCAACACCATATTTCAAAATAAAAGATGATAAATAAAGGACTGGAGATATGCCTCAGCGGTTAATCACCCCTGGGTTCAATCCCCATGCCAAAAAGAAAGAAAGAAAAAAGAAAATTAAAATGCCAGATCTTTTAAAATTAATATATAAATTTAATTCAATTCCAAACGTAATACAATAGGAAGTTACGAGAATAAACTGGATAAACTGAACTTAATGTTGATATAAACAATTAAATTTTGCTATTTTTTTATCAATTCAAAATTATAACTCAAATAGATTCAAGAGTTGGATAAAAAATATAAAAATCTTTGAAAAAAGCTCTAAAAGGTTATATATTCATGTAGAGGTTGGGAAAATCCTGTTGTTCAAGAAAAGAAACTCCAAAGCAAGAAATTTTGGACAAATAAAAGTTTAAAACTGCATGATGGCAAAAACATCATAAGTAAAGTTTCAATCAATCAACAGATTTATAAAATTGCTGTTATAAATAAGAAATAAAAAACAAATAACCCAAAATAAAAATGAGAAAAGACTATATTCTCATTCATATTAATACAAATTGCCAATAAATGAATAAAACTATACTCAACTATTCTCAGAGAAGTGAAAATTAAAGTCTATTGAGAAATTATCTTATAACCATCATATCGACTGTGTTAGTCAGCTTTTTATCCCTGTGGCTAATACACTTGACAACAACAACTTAGAGGAGGGAAATTTTATTTTACATAATTTTTGGAGTTCAGCCAGTGGTTAGCCTACTACATTGCTCTAGGCTCAAGATGAGGCAGAACATCATGGTAGAAGGGTATGGTGGAGAGCAGCTTCTCACCTCATGGCAGGCAAGAAGTAGAAAGAGAAAGGGGAAGGGGCTACAGGGAAGATGAACCCTTCCAGAACACAACCCCAATAGCCACACCCCACCTACTTACAGTTATCACCCAAGTTAGTCCATTAAAACTAGGTTGTATGAGATTAGGTCACAACTCTCATAATCTAATTTTTCCTCTCAATATTTCTGCATCAACACAGAAGCTTTGAGGAAGAACTCATTTCCAAACCCTAACACTGACACAAACTAAAAAGAGCAATAACACATATTGTTGGTAAGGATCAAAGAGAGAAAGTTAGAAATATGATTTAATAACAGCCATTAAAATGAAAATACATTGTGAATCAGCAATTCCAGTTCTAGGAAACCATTCCAAGACCATGTGTGTGTGTGTGTGTGTGTGTGTGTGTGTATACATATATGTACATACACACATGTATATACATGTATATGTATATACATATATACACACACATATATACACATACATGGATTTTTTATATTATTCACTTAGGCAAAAAACTGAAAGCAGAGTTAAAATTATTATGAAAAATGTTTAATAAATTTTGATACATTTATATCATGGAATATTATAAAATATAAATAATGAAAGACTTGAACCAGTTGATTTGGAAGGATTCCAAGGGATATACTTTTTTTATTAGTGTGTAATAATTGTATAGAATATTGGGTTTGATTGTGGTGCATTCATATATGTCTATAACATACTTTGATCAATTTCATTCCCTAGTACCTCCCTTACCTATCCTTCCTCCATTCTCCTGCTCTCCTTTCCCTACCCTACTGGTGTCTCTTCTGTTTTCCATCAAATCCTCCCCACCAAGACCTTTTTTTTTTTTCTTTCTAACTTCCACATAGAAGAAAAAAGGTATGACCCTTGACTTTCTGAGTCTGGCTTATTTCATTTAACATGATGTTCTATTGTTGAGCGAACAAAACCAAGACATACAGAAGTATGTAATTCTTATTTTTGAAAATGATAAAATCCATAAATAGGCCCATGACTACACACACACACACACACACACACACGCACACACACATGAAAAAGTACAAAATGATAACATATTTTAACTGGTGAGTGGGGTATGATGTGAGTAGAGGAATGAAGGAAAGGGAAAGGGGCTAAAGCAAGCAAAAAAATTACTTCTGAAATTACTAGTATGTAAGTTATGAATCAGTTTATAAAAATTATGTGTATTTTACATGAGTATATTTTTTCCTAGAAAATTAGGAAGAATGAAAACATGTTTACTGTCTTTTACAAATGTCTATGTAGGGCTGGGGTTGTGTGGCTCAGTGGTAGAGCACTTGCCTAGCATGTGTGAGGCACTAGGTTTAAACCTCAGCACACATAAAAATAAATAAATAAATGTATTGTGTCCATCTACAACAAAAAAAATTTAAAATGTCTTTGTATATAGTCAAAGGCAGCTTTGTATAATGCATATATAATATATTTATATCTGTAAAAGAACACCCAACTCACCTTTCTATATGTGTAAAAGAAAAGTGATTGAATACTACACACTGCTTTGTTAGTACTAGATATCTCTGAAGTTCCAGTTAGGATTAGGGATAGAGATATAGATAATTAGCTTCTTCTTTATATATTGTTTGTATGTTTTATTTCTTTTTTTAAATTAAATTATTTATTCTAATTTGTTATACATGATGGAAGAATGCAATTCATTTCATATTACACATATAGAGCACAATTTCTCAAGTCACTGTACACAAAGTATTTTCACACCATTTGTGTCTTCATATGTGTACTTAGGGTACATCCACCATCATTCCTACCCTCTGCCCCCTCTTTTTCCCTCCCTCCCCTTTGCCCTATCTAAAGTTCCTCCATTCCTCCCATGCTCCCCTCCCATCGCCATTTTGAGTCAGCATCCTCATAACAAGAAAACATTTGGCCTTTGGTTTTTTTGGGATTTGCTTGCTTCACTTAGCATTATATTCTCCAACTCCATCCATTTTCCTGCAAATGCCATGATCTTATTCTCTTTTAATGCTGAGTAATGTTCCACTGTGTATATACACCAAAGTTTCCCTATCCATTCATCTATGGAAGGGTATCTAGGTTGGTTCCATAATTTAGCTATTATTAATTGTGTTGCTATACTCAACTCAAAGTGGATCAAGGACCTAGGAATTAAACCAGAGACCTTGCTTCCACCTAATGGAAGAAACAGTAGGCCCTAATCTACATCATGTTGAATTTGGCACCAATGTTCTTAATAAAACTCCTGTAGCACTAGAATTAAAACCAAGAATCAATACATCGGAATGGATTCAAACTGAAAAGCTTCTTCTTAGCAAAAGAAACAATCAGTGAGGTAAACAGAGAGCCTACAGAATGGGAGCAAATCTTTACTACAAGCACATCAGATAGAGCACTAATCTCTAGGATATATAAAGAACTCAAAAATCTTAACATCAAAAAAACAAATAACCCAATCAATAAATGGGCCAAGGAACTGAACAGACACTTATCAGAAGAGGATATACAATTAATCAACAAACGTATGAAAAAATGTTCAACATCTCTAACAATTAGAAAAATGCAAATCAAAACTACTCTAAGATATCATCTCACTCCAGTCAGAATGGCAGCTATTATGAAGACAAACAACAATAAGTGTTGGCGAGGATGTGGAGAGAAAGGTACACTCATACACTGCTGGTGGGACTGCAAATTGTTGTAGCCAAAATTGAAAGCAGTAGGGAGATTCCTTGAAAAACTTGGAATGGAACCACCATTCGACCCAGCTCTCTCTTTCCTCGATTTATATCCAAAGGACTTAAAAACAGCATTCTACAGGGACTCAGCCATATCAATATTCTATGTTTTATTTATTTAAAAAGTGTTCAAAACAAATAAATAAACAAAACAAAATACCTACAGGTGCCAGAATGAAGCAAACTGAGAGAGGGCTGTGATGACCTTGAAAAAACATCTAAAAACATTCAGATTGAATCTTCAAAATAATACAAATACTATTTTATGATTTAAAAAATACACCCATGGAGCCAGGCCTTACTTAATTTTTTGTGTGGCTAGAGTTTAGAAATGAAACATCTTAGGTGACAAGCAGCCTTTTTCATGTAGCAGATAAGGAAACCATACATGTTTTACTTTTTACCCATTTATACTCCAATTACAGGATCCATAACCATATTCAGAGAAGGTGGCAGAATGTTTCTAGATGCTTCTACTCTGCTAGAATATGGACTATTCTGAGAACAAGAATATCACAGAAATATAGACCCATGGCTTGAGAAGGCAGTGTGGAGAATGCCTAATCCAACTCCCTCACTTTATCACTGAAGAAACTGAGGCCAGGTTAAGCAATTATAATCTCATATCTTATCCTCTTCATTCTTGACTGACAGAAAAATCATTTTAAAACTTCTCTCAGAGTAAATAAATGATAAACATGGAACACTGGTATATTAGTTCAATGAATTAAAAATTCTCACATAAAAATCAACCATCAACTGTTAAACAATGGAATTGAGACACAGAACCTGCTTAGGTTGCCTTGTGCAAACCTTTAAAGCCATCAGTTCATTCATTCATTTATTCATGCCTCTTTGTATTCAACCAACATATATCAAAGACTTACTCTACACCTGATATTGTGAGGTGCTGCTGATACAAACAATAGAACATGATCCCTGATTGTCATCCAGTGACAGGCTACAAAACAAGTCAGACCAAAACAGAAACCAAATGTTGATGAAATAATTCATTCTAACTGGGTTTTGGGGAGTGGCTTCATTGAGGGGAAGGTTGACACTTAAATCAGGCATGTAGGATGTAGGACTTCAAGGCAACAACAAGAGCAAAATGAGGAAACAGCATGTTTGGTATGTTTTGGGAAATTATCAGAATTGAGCCCAATCCAGGAAAAGAAGAAGGGAGAAAACTAGAAATTAAAATGTTCCAGCCTGAAGATAAAAGTGAATTCAACTGAAGTGTAAGACAATTTGCCACTCCAACTCCTGCATGCCTGATACATGGCAAGTGGTCAATAAACGGTATCTGGGTAAATCCACTGTGTAAACTCTTGTTCAATTTATTGAATGAATTCAGCATATTACCATATATTGCCCAGGGTCTAAATCTCCCATCATTCCTTTTAGATGTGTGTTTTCTGTTCTGATAGCTTTATATCTCATATCTGAGACCTGAAAAATGAGTAGATAAAAGGAAATGTAAAATTCACAGTGAAAACTTGTAATCTTATTAAAATTAAGGATGCACAGAAATATTTTCTAATTGCAGTGAAGGGAAACACTTCACCTTAGGTTTATCTACTGGGTACTCTTATTCAGATCTTCTATCTTTGGCCAGCCCCACTGTAACCTCCTCTTATAAATTAAAAGCACATACTTATGATAATGATTCACTTACTTTTCCCCCTTCTAGTCCCAAAATTCCATTTCTCATTGATATTTTCTATTGTATACAAATTATCACCACAAAAATAGTTTAAAAATCACACTTAAAATAACACCATCTATTACATTTCTTTAACACCTGATTAAGTTTTCCAATATGTTACACATATCTTTCATATTTAATTTTGTTCTTTCTGGTATTTCTACCAAGTTTCCTTCCTTGTTTGTGACACCTTCATTTTGTCTTCTTATTTTTTTTCTTTCCCTGATATTTTCTACTTGAAAGTACTTGGATATGGTACCTGTCCTTTTATTTATTTAAGGCTCATTTCTATATAAAACACTTGCTTTAAAGATTTACTTTTGTAAATTACTAAGTATATGCTCATTGACAACATCTAGAAAATATTTAAGAGTAAAAAGTGAAAGTAAGAATCATTCATAATCCAACTACCCAGATCACTAACCCAGCTTTAAATATTCCTTTCCCACACAGCTACCACTGATGCTATTATCTTGTTGTTGCTGTTTTCTTGTGTGTTGTATATGTTAATCACAGTTTAAGGCTTATAATTGGGAAAAGGCTGAGTCTCTTCTGTTTCTGTAATATGCAGGATTTAATAGTCACCCTATTTGTGAAGTGATCTTTGTATGCTTAGAAAGTTATTGAATTTTTTTCAATAAATGTTTTGTGCTCTGAAAACATCTAGATTTGGAGTAAAAAAGGCAGATAAATACTGTGTTCTCAATAGCAGGTTACCAATTTGATTATGAATAAAAGATTGAGAGAATTTAAAAAATAAATAGGAAGGAAGGAGGAAAGCTAGGCAGGCCTGGCAGAGAGGGAGGGAGAGAGAGAATAGAAGTTACTTGTGATATTTCAGTATTGAGGTACTATTGCTGTTTTTCCTCAAGCACGAGGCTATTTATTGAGTGAATGTTCAGTAAATATGATTTTCATGTTAGAGCACACATTTTTAAAACCCTAAAGGAATTCTTATACATGAAATGATGGGTAGGAAATGTCCCAGAAAAACTGGAATAGTTTTTTTTTTTTAATAAAAATGTTAGTGAACAGGACATATAGAAAACAACTGAGAAAGAAAAGTTTAATTAGCACGTATGTGGGAGGTGCTCAAAATATGGTTACAAGAAAATGGTAGGATGAGATTTAATGACATTACCTTGCACTGTTGCTTATTTCCCTAATTCTTTATTTTAGGAAACTTTATCTCACAATGGTTTTGTGATTCTACAAAGCATTTTTCTATGACAACACAGGAATTTCTGTGATGCCAAGTTCTAGAAACAATACCAAGCAATGCAATGCTTTTATGAGTCAATAACAAAGCCCTCCGTGAGCACTGAACAAGAGTGTGCCCTGGAAAAGAGCTTTCTTCTTGCTTGCATACCTGTTGCTTTGCTAACATTTTTTCTTTTATTTCTAACTCCATCTTTAGCTGTCTTTCCAAAAGGGCAGCTTTCTTCATGACAGTTGCTATAGTGATCTCCTTCTGATGAAGCTCCTCTGTTAAGTCAGAGATTTCATTCCTCATTCTTTCCTGCTCAGAGCTGTGGAACTCTTCCTCTGGATAGAGCTGGCTTCTTATCTGCAGCACAGATACCAGAAAACATGAGCAAATCCATTTATTTGTAGAGTAGCTCAAAGCTTTTCTTGGCCGTGTTCAGTTAGTTCTCCTATCCTAAAACTTGAAGAGGACCCACTGTATCTTCCTTTTCTGATCCATGCAAAATTAAAAACAGGTACTTAGGGCTGGGGTTGTAGCTCAGTGATAGAGCTCCTGCGTAGCATGTGTGAGGCACCAGATTTGATTCTCAGCACCACATATAAATAAATAATAAATATCCATTGACCACTAAAAAAAAAATTTTAAAAAGGTACTTACATGATTCATTTACTTTTTTCCTTCCAATTTCAACATTTCATTTATCATTTCTATTTCCTACTATATACAAATCATTATCTACTACTGACATTACTTTGGAAGGAACAGAAAGAATTATCAAGTGCTTTTTTATGGAAAAAAATTGGCTTAAAGAGGTTAAATGACTTGCTTAAAATCATAAAACTAGTAACTGATAGAGTTGAGACTAGAACTTACAGCTTTTGGCTTTTAATTTGTTGTTTTTTCTTTTTTAAATTAAATTATGCTGTACTATTTGTCACTAAATGCTGAGATTTTCAGAACCAATTTATAAAACATTTTAAGCTTAATGTATTCATGAAAATGCATTACCTCCTCCCTGTGAACTCTCTTATATCCTTAATCTTGGCTATCTTTCTAAGCTCATCTGGAACTTCTCTTGTCCTTCCAAATCCAAGCAGGCAGCAAATTCTATCTATTCTACTTCAAGCTCTCCTAAATCTTGCCTCTGCTCTCTGTTCCTACTGCTACTATCTTGACCCAGCCTCCTAGCATCTTTCTAGAAACTACTCATGGTTTCTAATTCTTGAGATTCAGAGATAAAATAAATGATCATCAATCTCAAAAAAAAAATTGTCCATGGGAGAAACAGAAAAATAGACAATTCCAGCAGAGTGAAGTAATCAATGTTAGCAGTATGTAGTGGATAGTGCTTAACACAGCCTGGGGATGGATTCAGGACAGGATTCCCAGAGGAGAGGGCATCGGACCAAATACTGATGAATGAATGGAAACCAGTCAGAAGATGGAGATGGAGAAGGACTCCCAGAAAACAATGAAGTGAAAACATGGGGGTGAATGAGTAATGCACACTTAGTGGACTAAAAGGAGTTTGGAGTGGCTAGACCAAGTACATTTTGAGGAATAAGGCTGCAGAGGCTAAGTGGAGTTGAGTCACAAGGAGATTTGTAGGAATTTACCCCAAGGCATTTACTAAGAGGTTTTTTTTTTTTTTTTTTCATTTAATATTGAAACTTTTTAGTCTATAATCTCTAAAAGAATAGGAACTCTGTTTCTCTCTTAACATAGCTAGAAAACATAACAACATATAAAAACTTAATTCCTTCACATAATTCACATCATCAAATATCCATGAAGAATTCAAATTTAAAATTGTATTAAAAATGTATCAAGTGTTCTTTAAGTGTTATTTAATTGACTTAGGCTCTAAATATGGTCCACCCCTTGAAACTGGTGCATACATCTTTTTAAATCCTCTCTTTATGTGTGTTCTAAATACTTTTCATGCTTCATTTTTGTTTTCAATTTCCACAATCTTTTTCTGGTTTGTAGATCAAACCATTAAGGTGCATGACTTTTTAATCACATTCCTGGTGAAAGACAGTTGATTCCCAGACCTGTTGTTGTCTTGCCCATTGTGCTCAGCAGCATGAAAGGGGCTTTTAAGATGGTTCACATGTTGGAAAAAGCTGGGTTCTAGGGAATGATATCTAGAATAGAACGACCTGACATGGAAAGTACACATGTCCAGAGGCAAATCTAACACATTACCAGGTTTTATACCATCTATCTTGTTTTAGTCAGTTTTTGCACTGCTGTGACTAAAAAGAACTGACAAGAACAATTTTTGAAGAGGAAAGTTTTTGGGGGGTTCACAATTTCAGAAGTCTCAGTCCATAGACAGCTGGTTCCATTCCTTGGGGCAATAGGTGAGGCAGAACACCATGACGGAAGAGTGTGGTAGAGGAAAGTGGCTCAGTAAGTTACCAGGAAGCAGAGAGAAGCCAACAGAGAGGCCATATGGGCTGCAACCAGCAAAGCCATAGAGGCAGAACTAATTACACAAGCCCTTTGGAGAGAGCATCATGATGCCATGTGCCCACATGCTGGACATGGAGCTACAAGATTTGTTTGCCTAGCTGTACTTAGGTCTTGCTTTAGTTCCATTCCTTCTTTCTATGCCCTAATTTCTCCTTTATGAGATGGAAATGTTTACTCTGTACCTGTACATATTGGATATATGCAACTTGTTTTTGACTTTTACAGGGGCTCACACTTAAAAGAGTTTGCCTTGAGTCTCAGTGGAGGTTTTGGACTTGTACTTTTGCATTGTGAGATAAGCATGAGGTTTTGGGTGTCAGGGACAAATATTATGGTTTATTTTAGCTGTCCCCTACAAATTTATGTGTAAGACAATGCAAGAAGGTTTAGAGGTGAAATGATTGGGTTATGAGAGCCTTAACCCAATTGGTGAATTTATCCCCTGAAAGGGATTAAGTGAGTGGTGACTGAAGGCAGGTAGGGGGTGTGGCTGGAAGAGATAGGTCATTAGGGGGGTGTGTCTTGGGGGTATATATTTTGTATCTGGTGAGTAATCTCTCTCTGCTTCCTGATCTTCATGTCTTGATCCACTTCCCTCCACCACACCATTCCACCAGGATGATCTGCCTCACCTGGAGCCCTGAGGAAAAGAGGTAACTGTCTAAGGACTGAGACCTCTGAAGCCTTAAGCCCCCAAATAAATTTTTCCTCTTCTAAAATTGTTCTTGTCAAGTCTTTTAGTCTCAGCAGTGAAAAAGTTGATGAAAACACCTCACTTGTCAGATTCCATTTTTTTAAGAGAGAGAGAGAGAGAGAGAGAGAGAGAGAGAATTTTAACATTTATTTTTTAGTTTTCGGCAGACATAACATCTCTGTTTGTATGTGGTGCTGAGGATCGAACCCGGGCCGCACGCATGCCAGGCGAGCTTGCTACCGCTTGAGCCACATCCCCAGCCCTCAGATTCCATTCTTATTAATAACATTTTTAGAGTTTCAAAGTTGGACATGACCTTAGAAATCACATGGCCTTAACCATAACATTTAACAGAAGGTAAAGAAAAAAAGACTGAAAGGGAAGAAAACTGACTGGGCCTAATTCATGCAGCTCCTGAAAGCAAGTGAGGGGAGTAGGAGACTGGAGTACAAACATGGTAACCCCAGGACAATGTAACAAATCTCCTTTCGTTTCTTCTGTCTTCAGTTTTCTTCCCTTATAGTTTATTTGATAAAACAACAGCATTATTCTGGTGTTTGTCCCCATTTGGATTTTGCTGAGTGCATTCCTGTGGTGTAGTTTAACATGTTCTCCTTAAAATGGAACTTTGAAAATGGAAAAAAAATTAACACATTATTATGAAAAAGCAGTGAACACTTTTTATTATTTTTACAATGTTTAGATATTTAAACAACATACAATACTGCAAAGCTTCCTTATAAATAAGATTAATTTACCTGAGCTTCAAACGACTTTTGGTTTATTAGAAATGTGAATTTTATCACAAAACAAATGGCTAAAAATAGTTTTGTATTGGAAATAGAAAACACTTGCAGGATTCATAATACATGGCTCTTGTTGGTTTTATTGCAAGAGAATGAAAATGCTCTCCACAAACACTTCCTGGAAGCTATAGCTATTTATATACAATTCATTTTATCTTTTTCAGCATAGTATTGAACTGTCTATTGGTCTCCAAGAGCTCATAGAGACCTGAGCCTTATATTCTCTTCCTCCATGTCAAAACTGTGTGAAATCAGTAGGTTCTTCATATTATTAAAAATTTCATTACTACCAAATAATCTATAATGCTAAGAAGGGTATATCTATACAAGGCTTTAATCAATTTTTTATCATAATGCATTAACTAGAGACACATCAGTGAAGAACAGTTTCCTAAAGTTATATTCTTAAAATAAACAAAATCAGTTTCATGAGATTATATGTCATTACATATGAAAAATATAACAGAAATGATCATTAAGTTTTGGGCTAGGGTTGTGGCTCAGGGATAGACTGCTTGCCTAGCATGTGTGAGGCATTGGGTTCAATTCTCAGCACCACATATAAATAAATAAAAAATAAAGATTCATTGACAACTAATAAATGTTTTAACAAAAAAGAGAAATGATCATTAATTTGTAACTTTTCCTACATTGAACTTATATTTGTTCTCTGATAGTCAACTCTGTCATACAAGATCTGTCTTTCACAGAATTTTATTTTCTATGGAAATTAAGAGAATAGTTATAGTCCTACTAGATACTCAAAAAATATTGACTTTACACAAACAGCAACTGAATTTATGGCTTTATGCATTTACAGGATAACTTAGTCTTAATTAATTCATTCTCTAAATGTTTATTTTCATTTACTATGTGTCAAGCCATGTGCAGGGCACTAGATGGTAGTTACAAGCCATGCTAACATTTGTTTAACTTTTAACAGTTGTTTAGATTTTATAGTATTGTATATTCTGTCTGATCCTCAAACCTAAAGACAAGAGAAATGAATAGCAGCTATGATAAATTCATGGAAAGAAAGACACTACTAAATCTTACTAGAAAACAGAAGAGAAGAACACGCTTTTTGTAGGAGACTAGAGAATGACAGACTCTTTAAGAACAATGCCCAGGCCTTCCTCATTTTGTGGAAGAGTGCTTGACACACATCAGGCACTCAATGGAAAATTTGGTATAACCCAAAATACTAACAGCCAACATTTACTAGGTGCTTACGCTTAGCTAGGCCCTTGTTCTAAGCACTTCACAGGCATTATCTCACGGATTTTAACTTAAGGTAAGAGTATGGAATCTGGATGCAGGTTGACTAGATTCAAATTGAGCCTCAGCTACTGATTAGTTGTGTAAAGTTGGGGAAAGTTACTTCTCTGTTCTTAGTTTCCTCACATGTACAAAGGAGATAATTTTAGGACCTATCATATAAGATGGATGTGAAGAATAAATGAATTAGGATTTGTTAAATCCTCAGAACAGTTGCTGGCACATGGTAAGGGCAATAAGTAGTAGTTGTTATTGGCTTTTTCTGTCCCCATCACATACATCTCCTTATGATGTAGGTACGGATCATTCCCATTCTAGAAATGAGGATCTTGAGCAGTGTGCATAGTCAGCCTCTCAAGGCTTGTACACATGGCCAGGCCCCAGGGTCTGTGCTACCAACCTTCTTGCTATAAACCATGTCTCACTGAGCCACTAGCCTTCCATATTTCATGGGCAATCTCCCACTGGCAGAGTGACAATCCAAGGTTTGTATTCATACAGAACAATGTCAGAATTATCAGATTGACAGATTTTTAATTTAGGAAAAAATACAGAAGAAAAAAGAAAGGAGTTAGAAGGAAGTTGTTGTTGTTGTTTTAACTGTTCATATTCAAAGACTTCTTCCTGGAAGAATAGAGCTCATTAGTTTCCATACCTTAGTTAATTCTTTTTCACGATTTGATTGGTCTGGGACCACTGGAAATATCTCTTTCCTTTTCCTTTCTGGTTCTTTAGTAGAAGGTGAATAAGATGGTTCAAGTCTACAAATTAAAAATAATAGGCTAAAATTAAGCTTAACTGGCCAAGCATGGAGGCAGATGCCTTTACTCCCAGGAATCAGAAGGCTGAGACAGGAGGACTGCAAGTCCAAGGCCAGCTTCAGCAATTTAGCAAGGCCCTGTCTCAAAAATAAAAAATAAAAAGGGTTGGGAGATGTAGCTCAGTAGTAAAGCCCGCATGGGTCCAATCCCCAGACCTCCCCTCAAAAAAATTAAGCTCAACTTAATAAATTGTTATGATTATGTTATTAATTTAGACCATTGTAGGCTGCATAGATAGACAGATCATTACTTTGTTGGAAATATTTCTAGTTATATAAATTGCAAGTGCTAATACATTCAGATCCCATAAGTATTTACATCTTTAACCAAGTACAAATAGTTTTAATGGGGAAAAAGTGTAGTGATTAGTATGAAATTTCAATTATTCATTAGAATTGCCAGAATACTGGAATTGCATAGGTAGATATGATTTTTGGATAAGAAGAAAAACCTGCTTTCTGCGATAAAACAGCCCAGAAACCCATGCCCCAAAAAGGAAACAACCCAACTTGCTAATGCATTGCAGGGAGCATCTATATCATGAGTAGTATGAGGGAAACAACTACTCCATAAATATGCTTAAAAATGATTACATATGGCAGTCTAGTCAGATAAAAGGCAACTACCCTTTGATGACTCATTTATAAAATGGAATTGTAACCATGTATTAATACTAGAGAGGAGAAGCAGAGACTAGTATAAAAAGCATAATACCCAAAAAGAAGGTTGGAGAAGTATAAGCAAATAACGATCACTTCCATGTAAGGCAGGTTTATAAGATAAAAATCAGTAAAAAAAAAAAAAAAATAAAGATACCAGGTGGCAAAAACATCAGCGTTCTTTTAGAAGTCAGGCTTGATTATGCCTGTGGAGTCTGGTGTTTGAGGAATACACCCATCTGTAAGTAAAATTTTATATTGCCCAGAGTTTTTGGAAAGATTCCACACATCAAAAACACAAACCACACAAATAAAATAAGAAACCAAAATCTGAGTAATGATGTAGAAATAACTAATTCAAAGATTAAAAATAAAGGATCTCTCAAAAGGTAAAAATTATTAGTGATATTCCTGAAGTATAGATCAATTCTTTCTGATTATTGTGTATGTGTGTGTGTGTGTGTGTGTGCGTGTGTGTGTGCATGTGTGTTCAGTCCACACAGTGTAGAAAACAGAGCATATGAGAATATCACAGAAAGTTAGCATCCAAGAAAAACTGTTGCTAAAATTTTTGTGTATATTGCCTTTTTCCTTACGCATATGTGTGAATAAATAATATACATTTCCCCTATAATTAAAATACACTGTACACATTGATTTTCAATTTCTTTATTTTACACTTAGTAATATTTTGTGAGCATTTTTCATTTTGTCTGATGTTCTTCTAAAAGATCATTTCAGGATTAATTTTAAAATTTTCTTATTTGGTATGATTTGTAAAAAGTGTAAAATGAAATTTCCTATTTTTCAATTCTTCCTATGTGATTTCAGGGGGAACAATGCTGAACTGAATCCTCATGGTAAACTTGCAAAGTTCATTGAGTGAGGGGAAAAAAATGTCAAACTCCAATTTAGAAAGGTGATAAAAAACAATAATTATACTAATATAAGATGCTAATATGAATATGTAAAAAAGGATGTTTGAATTATTTTAAGAATTCAAAATATATCCATGCAAGGTGCTTCTACATCTAAGAAAAGAAAAGGAAAAGCTAATGAAAATCAGCATTATTGACTAAGGTTTTGAAAAAGAAATGAAGACATTAGTGTACTATTTATATAAAGCCAGTGTGCATCTGCTCTCAGTAATGTGGGCTTCACCTTAATACAGACACAAAAAGGAAACAAAGTCCAAATAAGAAACCAAAACAACAAAACAGAACAACATTTATATGAGAATAAACTAGAAGGATTCAAGAACTTGCAGTGGGAAGGATGGAGACTGAGAAGTCTAAAAGACAATGGAAACTGGAAATTTACATATATACCATTTCATCAAATCTCAGAATACTACAACTGAGGGATGCCCTCCAAATGAGAAAGATATGGCTTGAAGACCAAAATAAATACCAAATGAAATGAAGGATGGCAAGGCAGAGCAAAAGTTTGTACTGACCAAATATGTGCATAAGTACAAGACTTTGGATCAAATTATGTCTTGAAGGAAAGCGGGCAACATTTACAGTTTAGTATTGGCCCTGTAAGAGTGCCACAGAAACTGCCTACAATATTCCTCACAAAACCAGAGGTAGACACTCGTGGAATGGTGTGCTTTTCTACAATTTTTTTTTTTATGTTTCTGGGTACATACATTTGTTTCTTTGTGTGAAGACATTTTTCACTGACTCACCACACTGGAACAGCAGCTTACACATAATAAATAGCCAAAAGATTTATTAGTCATCAGGGATGATGATGTATAGCTTGTATACAGAGCACTCAATAATGCAGACTGGCTAATAGGCAGTCTGCCATCCTTGGTGAGGCATACAATAGGTCACTTTGGAGGATCTTAATTTGCCATTAGTTGTTAAGGATAGACTTCAAAGAAGTGCTACCATAACCCTCAACTTTGAAGAAATTGAAACAATAATTATATTTCAATAAAATATCCCTCACCATTTGGCTATTCAATTTTTAAAATCCTATCACTGGTCTAGCATTAGCTTTTTGATCATGAGGAATAAAGTTCTATGCCAATGAACTATTAAAGCATTCAAACTGTCTATTCGTAAGCAAAAACACTTAATAATCCTCAGCAGTCCCATTTTCTTTGTGGTTATGGAGTACACAATATCTGATTTCAAGGAGGAAAAATTTCTGTTTAAAAAAAAACCTTAATGGAATTGACAAGGTGGTGAGTAAGGAGGCAAAATTACTACATTTACAAGTGAGAAAGCTAACATCAGGCTTATGGGCAATAGAAACGAAAAGCATTTGGAAAAATCTTATTCTTTGCAAATATGTAATTGAATACCAGCTCTATACTATTGTTTTTTTTAATTAGTGCATTTTAATTACATGGAGTAATGGGTTTTATTGTGGCATATTCATACATATATATAAACATACTATAATCATATTTACCCCTCCCCATATGTTCTCTTATGTACTATTGTTTTTATAATATGTATATTTTTTTCTTGGATTGAACCCAGGAGCCACATCCCTATCCCTTTTCATTTTTTATTTTGAGATAGGGTCTCACTAATTTGCTTAGGGCCTCACTAAATTGCTGAGGCTGACTTTGAACTTGCAATTCTCCTGCCTCAAGCCTCCCCCGTTGCTGGGATTATAGGCGGGTGCCATGATGCCCAGCTATGATATATTGAAGAACAAAAGTTCTAAGAAAATTTCTGACTCAATGTGACAAATGCATCCACAGATCAGAATATGATATATGTTTCTGGGTAAATATTGAAAGATAAAATAGCCATTATTTCTTTTAATATTTAATACTATCTACTAATAAATAGCATGTTAATTAAAAATAAATTTATTATTTTACTAGAAAATGTAAAACTCTTAAAAATATACAAACATCATGTTTTAAATAGTTTCTCTCAGAGTATCAAATATTAAAACTGTACCTTTTTTTATTTTCTTGAGCATTTTGGCATTCTCCTATTTTTAATAATTCTCTGTGTAACTGCAATCGTTCCATTTCTATAATCCTCAAGAGATCATCACGTGACTGTAACTCATTTTTCACTTCTGAGAGTCCTGCTTCCATGGCCTGAATAAAAACATAAAAATTTTTGATGCCTACTTTTTACTGGTGGACTATAGTTATACATGATAGTGGAGTTAATTTTGACATGCTCATAAATACATATAACATAGTTTGTTCCATTTCAATCCTCAATACTTCCTCTTTCCCTCCTCTCCTCTCTCCCCCTGCTCCTCTTCCTCTGGTCTATTGATCTTCCTTTAATTTATTTATAATTGGTTCATTATAATTATATATAAAATTAAAATACATCGTGATATATTCATACATGCACATAGCATAATTTGGTCAACTTAATTCCCCAGTTTTTCCCCTTTCTCCCCCTTCCTTCTTCCCCAGTGGTTCCCTTTTTTTACTCTACCAATCTCCCTTCTATTTTTGAGAGATTCTCTTTTTTTATTCTTTTTTTCTCTCCAGCTTCTATGTAGAAGAATAAACATTTGACCTTTTACTTTTTGAGTCTGGCTTATTTCTCTTAGCATGATGTTCTCCAGTTCCATCCATTTACCAGCAAATGCCTTAATTTCATTCTTCTTTATCAATGAGTAGAACTACATTGTGTAAACATATCACATTTTCTTTATCTGTTCTGCTTTTGATGGATTCCATAACTTGACTCTTATGGTTGTTCTGCTATAAACATTGGTGTGTATGTATTAAAATAACATGTTATTTTAGTTCTTTTGGGGAAAAAAAAACAATGAGTGGGATAGATGGGTCATATTGTGTTTCCATTCCTGTAATTCAAGTTACTCGGGAGACTGAGGCAGGAGGATCACAAATTAGAGGCCAGCTTCAGCAACTTAATGAGACCTTCAGCAATTTAGTGAGACCCTGTCTCAAAATAAAAAAAAAAAAAAAATAGAAAGGATTAGGGATGTAGCTCAGTGGTAAAGTACCCCTGGGTTCAATGTCCAGTACCAAAAACAAAACAAGAAACATAACTGATCTTTAGAGAGTAGGCTGTATACTCTCCATATCCAGTCCTCGATGTTAATTTTTATATCATAATATAAATATTTAAAAGTATTTAACATATGTAAACCAGCCTACTTTTAAACAAACTGATATTTAGTCCTTTGTTTGGTCTTATGGAATTCTATTCCATCATTTATTTATTCAATAAATATTTATAGAGCTCTTATTATTTGCTCTTGGGATGCAGATACAAACTGTCCTCCATGAGCTTACTGCCTAGTGATAAAGACAATAATAATCATACTTCTAATTGGTAACCAGAAATAACGGCAATCCTGTGGGTCCAATATTTTATATTGTTAAAGGGAGAGCCTTTCAAAAGTGCAAAAGCTATTGGGAAGGATCCAGTTAGGAACAAAGGCAGAGGTGGGGCAATAAGAGTGGTGTTAAATTCCTGAGCAGGTAGTGGGATGAGCCCCAAAGCTCATCAGGCAAGTAGAAGAAATGCCTGAAGCAAAGGAGAATCCTTCCTTTCTTGTAACAAAAAGGAAGGAAAATGTAATATAAACAGGTTTATGCATTTGGATTCGGGAGATTAAGACTGGCTATCTGTTGGCTTCTATTTTTTTCTGTGAAGTAAAAGGTGACATGATGTGCTGACAGTGGAAGGGAGGTGGAGGTCAGGTGTGGGAGTGATTCAGAGTGAAGGTATGAAATGGTTTACAGTGGAAATGGGAGCATTTGAATGGAGCAACAGCAGGATAGCCAGGCAGTGTTGAATACCTATTTCAGGTTTATGATCATAGCCTATTAATTTTTCTGCAGAAGTGTTTGGCTATTCTTTAGGAGAAAACAAATGGTATCATTCAATATATGGCTTCTGTGATTGTGGCTGCTTTCACTTAGCATGTTTTCAAGGTTCATACATATTATAGAATATATCAGTGAATATATACAATAATATGGACCATCATATTCATCACTTGATGGATATTTGAGCTGTTCTTACTTTTTGTATATAATGAATAATTCTGCTATGAAAACTAATGTACAGGCTTTTAATAGATATGTTTTCTTATTCAGTAATTCTTATCCAAAAATTCACAATGTCTGGAAGAATAATTATGTAGGTGGTATAGCACATCTGAGTTCCCAGACAATTTTTTCCCCCAAACCTCGAGTATACACTGTTTTCCAGGAGTCCTAGAAGGGTCTAGTGGCAATCAACACTTAAGCCCCAGAAATTACTGGTTGACTTGAAAATAAACATAAAAACAGATTCAAAATGCTGATTTAAGAGACTTGTTTGGAAAAGTCTGTTTTGAACAACAGGTATTTTTCAGAAGGGGCTAAAATTTGAAAAATAAGAAAAGAGACGTGAAACAACAGATTATGTAGTAAACAAGCAATTCAATTTGTTGTCAGTGTTGAGTTGAAGAAGGTATGATCTGGACTCCCTGGTTTACAAATTTGCCACCAGGAAATAGGAAACTGTGTATAAAAAGTGGGCTTACTTTACTTGGGGGAGAGAGGTACATGAAAATAGCTCTAATTCCAGGCCAATAAAATGTAGTGTCACCACAGGCCATAGTTAGCTTAAACTCTGAAATGTCATCATAAAAGAGTATTTGTTTGTTGTTAGTAGTAAATAATATCTACGAGTTATCATGTTTAGAAAATAATATTTATGATGAAGGCATCATTGAGGAGGGCAAAACTCCTTGATGACTTAAATATACAGGTACAATGATGTATATGTTGAAAAATTTGAAGGATTTGTCAATATTGGTACATTTAGGGGGTTGGGATTGTGGTAGAGTGTTTGCCTAGCACTGTGAGGCACTGGGTTTGATCCTCAGCACCGCATAAAAATAAAGTTTCTGTGTCCATCTACAATTATATTTATTCATATACACACAAATACACACATACACACACATTTATTTGTTTGCTTTTTTGTCATTGTTGGTGCTAGGGATTGAACACAGAGGCACTTTACCACTGAGCTATAACCCCAGGCCTTTTTATTTTTGAAAATTATTGCTTGGTACTTGATTCAGTTATTGGAATACTTCAACTTAGCTTGCAACAACTAAAGTATGTAAATCTATTTTTTTTTTTTTTTGGTGCTGGGATTGAACCCAGGAGTGCTTTGCCACTAGCTACATCCCCAGACATTTTTAATTTTTGAGACACATCTTGCTAAGTTGCTGAGGCTGGCCTCAAACTTACTATCCTCCTGCCTCAATCTCCTGAGTAGCTGGGATTACAAGCATGCACCACCATTTCCAGCTGTAAATCTTTCTAACTGTAAAATTTTATGAAATTTAGATGTCAATCAGATATTTCCAATGAATATTTAGCAACTAAATTTAAATAAGTTGTAAGTATAAAGCATACACCAGATTTGAAAGAATATATGAAAAATGTCAATATATCATTAATAATTTTTATATGTTGATTACATGTTGAAAAAATAACAGTTTGGATCTATATATTGGAGTGAATAATGTATATCACTATTATATTAATTTTACTTATTTTTCTTTACTTCCTTAATGTGACTGATAGTAAAATTTTAAATTATATTTGTGGCTTGCATTACACTTTTTTGGACAGTGTTGTTTTCATACCTTAATGACACATTAACTATTAACAAGCAAACAAAAAAAAAAGATTGACTGTTTTGGCATGGACATTTGATAAATGCAGAAAATTTATTTTTTGTCATTAACCTCCAATGAGAAGTACTACATGTTAACAAACACGAATGTTGTGTAGCACAGCAAATAAACATATACAATTGAATTAATATGTATTTTGACACATTTCAAGGTTGTAGAAAAAAAAGAGGAGATGTTATTTATGTGACCATTCAGATGCATCCGACATTGAAATGTGTTGTAAACTAAAGAGAACTTGATATATAATAAATAATAATAATTTAAATTGAAATGGTTGTCTTTTTGCAGTTATATGTAAGATGTTGAATATTCTGTCATGACAGTTTTGCAAAAGAGAAGATAAATTTTTTTCCAAATACATATCCTGGTTGTAGTATTATTTACCTCTAATCATTCCCGTTTGGTGAAATATAAATTTTGTAAAACAAGTTTAAGGCCCATCTGTTTAGTTAGGAATCTGCCTAATGATTTGAGAGGAGCAGTGATCTTAAACCTTCAAATTAACTAACAAATATAAATAATTGATATCTTCTCATTTAGTATTTATCCTAAAGCCAAAAATTGAAACATTAGTAAAATTTGGGAATAAAACAGGGGAAAAGGCTAAATAAAAACATTATTTTCAGCATCTTTTCCCAAATGGATAAAAAAATACTTAGTATTTTCCTGGGAGCAAAAATCTTGTCTTTTAGAAATCTTGAATTTTTTGAACTGAATTACTTTTCGAAATTCTTTTCATTAGAACTATAAGCAATAGTCCTGATATTTTATATATATATATATTATATATATATATATATATATATATATATATATATATATATATATATAATATATATATGAATAATCTAGTTTGCTTTTTAATATGTGCGATTATTTTGAAAAAATGTAAAATGGAGATTCTGTGTTTAAATTTAATAGTGTCCCTATACCCAAAGATAAATTATTTTAAAATGAATAAAAATTTATAAAAATATAATATGGAAAAACTTCCTCATATAAATCAGTATAAATATCAGTCACAATAAATTTTATGGAAAACATCACAACAAGTAACATTAGAGAAAAAAATAAGAAAAATAATTTTTTCAGAATTTGAAGAAGCATGTTTCAACCTCAGCACTATTGACAGTCTGGGCTGGGGAATTCCTTGTGGTGGAGCTGTCTTATACACTATAGGATGTTTGGCAGCATCTCTGGCCTCTACCCACTAGACACTGATAGCTCCCTTCCCTTTGTTCTAGCAAGCAAAATATTTCCAGGCATGGACAAATATCATCTGGGGAGCAAATAAATACAAATACCAATAAAGAGCCACTCTGACTTACAGGGAAGTCATACTAATTAGGCAAAAAATACTAACTTTGAGATAATGTTAATAAAAACTCTAATATTAATAAAACTTTTTATAAACTTTGGGATAATATTAATAAAAATATTCATAATTATATTGACTTCTATGGATAGTTGGGTTTGAATCCTGTTCATGTATATTTAAGAATATTAATAAATTATTAAGTACATTAAAATATGCATACATAAGGAAAAATCAACATGGTTTGCGTGGACTTTCTTTTGTGCAACCTAGAGACACTTTTCAGGAGTGTGTGTAAGTCCCTTGACGTTTATAAAATTTTGGGTCAGGAAGGCTAATAAGTGAAGTCCTGTTGGACTGAGTCAGGATAAGCCAGATACAGTAAAGGACAGGCTGACAGGCCAGCAGCTAGCTCACATATCCTGGCTTCCTGCTACACCTCCAGACTCGCAGGTTTCATGCTTGCTCTCTTCTTGCCAGCAGGAGTGTTGATGTGATAAGTGTGAGAAACACAAACTGAGACATTTATGTGAGAGAGGGTAGAAATGGTGATTTGAACTAGGAATGTTAATTTATTAATTGTTCCTTAATGTATACTCTTCCTCTATTTGCAAGGTTTTTTTCTCTTTTAACAGAATTGTCCATCCTGCTCAGATAAAGTCCTGAGAAGGAGAAAGGTGGGATTGTCAAGGAAAGAATTTTGGAAAATCAGCCATCTGTCAAGAAAGGGAAACAGGTTCTTTTTGACCTAGAATGTAGGTGCAAAACTAGCCATTAAGTATGTCACATGTGAGCCCAAGACAAAGGCTGAACTTCAACTCATAGAAGATGATGCTCTTGGACACTGTAAATAGAGACCCAAACAGAATTCTTTGGGGGAAGATTAAAAATAATTCAGGATGGTGAAGAAACCAAATCTCACTGAAGGATGAAACCAGACTTGATGGCTGGACTTGTGGGGCACACCTGTAATCCCAGTGGCTCAGAGGCAGAGGCAAGAGGATCATGAGTTCAAAGCCAGCCTCAGCAAATTAGCGAGGTGCTAAGCAACTCAGTGAGACCCTGTCTCTAATAAAATACAAAATAGGGCTCAGGATGTGGCTCAGTGGTTGGTTGAGTGCCTCTGAGTTCAATCCCTGGTAACCACCCCCCCACACCTAAAAAAAAAAATCAAAGTAAACAGAACAGAGAAAGAAGACCTGCACAGAGTAGATTTATAGGGACCAGAGCCAAAAAGAACTCAAAAAGGATCAGAGCCATCTGTACAGGATAAATTGAAGCCCACAGAAGAATATTTGAGAGGTATCTAGAAAAATAGTCTCGTTATTCACTGAATGCAAGTCTCCAGCAACACCAAGACAGCTATAACATGTAAGTTTAAGTTGTCTTTAATCAGAAGACAGGGCCAGTTGTTCTATACCCAGGGAATGAATGGGGAGCAGCCACTAAGAAAAGAACACAGCACAAACAGAATAGGTGGTCTGAGGAGCAAACTAAACTCTAGAAGCTCTCCCTGGACAATCTCAGAGCAGAAAAGTAAAGGCTATGTTCATTTAGGTTGTAATGGAGGCAGAGAAAACAGTATCAATACCTCTTCTATTTCTAGAAAATTTCTGGCTTCCTCAGTGTTAAGTATTGGCAGTTTATCTTGGTTTGTTTGTTTACATCTGTATTTTAATTTGTATTAGACTAGGAGAGGAGCATAGAGGTAGGCCAATTAATTGCATGGAGGAAATGGTAGAAAGCAGCTGAATGTTTACAGAGAGAGAGAAAAAAAAAAACATAAGATGTTTCACTAGCTGGATATTTGTGAATAAGAAATGCACATTTAGTAAGAAACTCAGTAATAACCAATTTTGATGAATGCTATTTAATAAAATTACCAGAAGAAGAAAAGACAAAAGGTTCAAGATTGTTGGATTAAGAAAAAACGCTTGAATAAATAAATCATCAATCACATCTAATAAAATACAAAATAGGGCTCAGAAGTTACTTCTTTGGTAAATGGTTATGATAAGGTACGATAGTTTGGGTGTTTAAAGTCCCACATACAGGTTTGGTCCCTCAGCTTTCTGTCACTGTAACAAAATACCTGAGACAATCAACTTATAAAGGACAAGGTTTATTTTGGCTCTTAGTTTTGGAGGTTCCAGTCCAAAATTGGTTGGCCCTCACCTGGGGGCACTACCGGGAGGTGGTTAAACCTTCAAAAGGTGGTGCCTGTGAGAGACTTTAAAGTCATAGGAGGTATGCCCTGGAAGGGTATTGTGGATCCCAACCCTTTCCTCATTCTCTCTTTTGCTCCCTGGCCATGAAATGAGTGGTTTTGCTCTACCATGCAGTCCTACCATTATGTTCCACCTAACCACAGGCCCAAAGTGAGGGTCAACCAATTATGGACTGGAACCTCCAAAACTATGAGCCAAAATAAACCTTGTCTCTTTATAAGTTGATTGTCTCAGATATTTTGGCATAGTGACAGAAAGCTAATACTTCAAGTCACCAGTGATAAATCTCAAGGACTAACCCCCATGTCTCACACTGAGGTTACCAAATCATTTAATCTTTCATGATCTCCCATGTTTCTCATTCAGGATTTCTGTTAATTAAAGAGGCACAGGTTCAGAGAAAATAATGAGGACAGAGGATGGTAGGTAACTAATAGGCCATGATTTTTAGGCACAGAGGTCTTTAAGTGACACTGTTATATGCACTGGTAATACATTCTTGTCAGAACCAAAGTGCACTCCAGTGGGGTAAGGCGCCTCTAGGATTACTCATCAAATAATAATTAATTACTAGAAAGAAATATTAATTGAATTTCATATGTAATAGAAAACTAGGTCTAGAGCCTATTCCTGTTCAATCAACATGTATACAATTCAAAGGCAATATCAGTTGGAAAATGAAAAAATAAACCTTCACCTGGCACTGTCTTTGGTACATTTTCAGTTCTTGTAAGAGCTTCTGATTTTCATCTTGTAATTTATTCCTGCTTAATGCTATTTCACTCACAGCTGATTTTAATTTTTCAATAATGAATTCATCTCTTTCAGTGGTTTCACAACTGGTATCTGATTCACATAACAAGTTAGGAATTTCAGAGCTGCTGCCTTCTATGCTCTGTTTTTTACCATTTAGTTGAGTTTGATAATTTTGTGCCTGTTTCTGAAAAATATGAAAACTGAGTAAATTAAGGGAAGAATATTATATTTAAGTTTACATAAAGTTAAAGAGTGAAAGAGAAGAACTAGTAAAATATCTGTAAATACATTACTAGACAGTGATGCTTGGCTTGTATAATGCAGTATTTAAGGTTGTTCTAAAATCTTAATTTCAGATGGTATACAGAGAAAGTATATTTGTATAAACTTGAGACAAAATTGTAGAGTAGAAAAGGAGCTAGAGGTAGAGAACTCTTAATAAGCACGAAAAACACTAAATAAAACAAAAATGGGATAATAGAATAAAATTATCAATGCCTATAACAAAGTTTAATGATCTCTAATATATAAAATTCTACACATATTGATAAGGAAAAGACAACATTAAAAAAAAAATGAACCAAGCAAGAATAGGTATTCCAGAAGAGAAAGTTTTAAAACCTATGATATAAATGAAGAGATGCTCATCCTTACACGTATCTAGGGAAATGCTAAACAAATCAAACAGTCTTAGATACTCTTAAGTACCTGCCCATATGCATTTGAGATATGCCATTTTATGATATAATAACAATGGAATTTTTATTAGCATCATTCTTTCAGACATGTAGACTAAACTCACCAACTAGTTCATGTACTGTTGCTATAGTCACCATTGGATTTAATCTGGTTATATCTCTTTGGTTCTATATGTAAATAGATCACATGCTGAGTGGCACAGGTACCAATATTTAGTCTCAAATATCTTCTAATTTAGATAATTTACCTGAAATTGATTACACTTCTCAGATAATAATTTTTGTTGAGCATCTAAAGAAACCAGATGAGTCTGATACAATATCTCTTGTTTGTCCCATTCTCTTGACTTTGCTCTGAATTCCTTTAAAAAAAGGTAAGAGAAAAATCATAAATTGAAGAATATGATTCATTTATAGCACAAAAATGAGTAGGGCTTCTTTCATTTGTACATCTTAATTCTGAGAAAAAAAGTTAAGTCTGCTCTTTATCTATTAGAAAATGAAGAAGGAGAAGGAGAAGGAGAAGGAGGAGAAGGAGAAGAAGAAGAAGAAGAAGAAGAAACAGTAACAAATCACTGATGATGTTGGATTTATTATTACAGGTTAAGTATTCCTTATCTGAAAATGCTTGGGTCCATAGTGTTTCAGATTTAAGATTTTGGAATATTTGTATATATTTAAAGAGATATATTGGGGATGAGACCCAAGTTGAAACACCAAATTCATTTGTTTCATATATACCTTATCTACATAGCCTGAGGGTAATTTAATACTCTTGGTATGCCTGTGCTCTGATTGCAACTTATCATAAGACATCAGGCATGGAATTTTCCACTTGTGGTATCATGACGGTGCTCATGAAGTTTTGGGTTTTAGAGCACTGGAGATTTAAGATTTTCAGATTAGGGATGCTCAACCTTTATATCCTAATTTTTGCTAAGAAAATATGGAATCTGTAACAATCCTTGTATAAAAACATTAAACATTTTATTTATTAAAATATAAATCTCTCTGATAATGTATGATGATTTTTAATAAGGGAGTTTCCAACAACTTTTTGCATCAACTAGTACTTTCTGACACAGTAAGTTTTTTCCTTCTTTCATCCCCTAAACTCAGTCCGTGAATGGACCTTGTTGTTTAATAGTGTGCAGCTTGGGCTTAGTGACTGCCATGGACTAAATATTTGTGTCCTCAAATCTATATGTTAAAATCTAATGTGCACTGTAATGAAATGTGGAGGTGGGGGCTTATGGAGGTAATTAAGTTATGATGTTGAAGTCAACATGAATGAGATTAATTTCCTTGTAATAAGAGATATGAAAAACTGCCTTTCTTTCTTCTACACCAGTAGAGAGCCATTTCTGAGCCAGAAGGAGGGCCCTTACCAGAATTTGACCATGCTAGCACTTAGCAAATTAGGATTGTTACAAATTCCATACTTTCTTAGCAAATTTGACCATGACCTTGGGCTTCTAGTTTTCAAGAACTGTGAGATACAGGTTTGTTGTTTAAACAATCTAGCAGGGGGATGGAGAAGATGGCGGCGAGGGGAGTGCATTGCCCCCGTGTGCTGCTTCACTGTGTGGGAGTATGACAAGTCAGGACGGCTAAAGGCTATCTTGTTAGGAATTTCCAGCAATAGTGGGGTGCTCCGGAACCTGGAGGAAGGATTTCCATCGCACGAGGATCGGCTACGGGGACTCAAACGCGAGAGGTTTGTCGCACGGAGGGTAACACTGCTTATTCAGTAAATCGCCCCGCGGCTAGAGTCTGCAGCGCGCGCTGTGAAACGAGGAGATAGTGACGCAGGGATACAGCGCTGCAGTTTCTGCCAGCCGTGCAAGCACCGTACTCAGGGCTGAATTCTGGGTTCGAGATGGGGGAAGGAAGCGGTCCATCTCGGTTCTCCACACCGGTCAGACCACAGAGGAGGCCAGCAGCCACCATGTTGGAAAGCTGACGTCACCATCCCTGTTTTCGACTGACCGCAGCTCATTCAGCCATAGAACAGGTAATTTCAGGCTGCAATTCGCCTGTGGCTTGCAGACAGATTGCTAGGGTTCAGTGCCTGGGTGCTTCTTAGAACCTGATCTTATCGGAGCGAACACCGAGCGCGGGGCGGCCGAGTTCCGGCTCCCGGAACCGCCCTGGCCCAGGGCTGCAGAGCCTGCGGAGGCTGCTTCTTGGACCCTGCTCCTATCAGAGCATACACCAAGCACTAAGCGGCCGAATTCCGGCTCCTGGAACCGAGCCCGCGGGGACTGCTTCTTGGAGCCTACACTTATAGGAGCTTACACCGAGCACGGAGCGGCTGAGTTCCGGCTCCCGGAACTTCCCTGGCCCGGGGCTAGGAGCCCGCGGAAACTGCTTCTCGGTCCGGGTCCTGCTGAGGGCCGGTCAGGACTCACCCGTTGCTTTGGTTGCCCGGCAAGGGGAATGAAATGCTGCCATTCGCATAGGATACCAACATGGCAGAGATCTGATGTCATCAGAAAGCGGCGGAGGAGAGAACTTCATCAATACCAGCGGCGACATAAACAGTTGGTCTCCTGGTAGGGGGGGTGAGGCACAGACACCCGAGTCTCCTCAATTTGTCGTCAAGCCAGAGGGGAGGAGCCAGGCCGCCGCCAGCGCCCGGAGCAGGCCCAGCGGCTCGCCAGCATGGTGACCGCGTGACCCCAATTGGAGAGGGGGTGGAGCGGAGCCGCCACCCGCACCCGCAAGGTGGGCAGACCCGCGACCCAGTGGTACATGGGCGTGGTAGGAGGGGCAGGGCAGAGCCGCCGTTTGCGCTTGCAAGGTAAACAGACCTGTGACAGCCTGGCGGGTCAGGCCCAGTGGCCTGCCAGTGTGGTACACACGTCACCCCAACTGGAGTAGGGGCAGAGCAGATCCTTCTCCCACGCCCGGATCAGGCCCTGCCGGTGTGGTGGTCACGTGACCCCAATTGGAGTGGGGGCGGAGCGGAACCGCCACCCGTGCCCGCAGGGTGAGCAGACCTGTGACCAACCTGCAGATCAGGCCCAGGGGTCCGCAGGCGTGGTAGGAGGGGCAGGGCAGATCCGCCGCCCGCGCCTCCAAGGTAGGCAGACCTGCAACAGACCGGCGGATCAGGCCCAGGAGCCTGCCGGCGTGGTACACACATCACCCTAATTGGAGTAGGGGCAGAGCAGAGTCGCCGCCCGTGCCAGGAACAGGCCCAGCGTCCTGCAGGCGGGGTAGTCACGACACCCCAATTGGAGTAGGGGCAGAGCAGAGCCTCCACCCGTGCCCGAAAGGTGGGCAGATCTGCGACCGACCAGCGGGACAGGCCCAGTGGCCTGCCGGTACGACAGACACGTCACCCCATTTGGAGTAGGGGCAGAGTAGAGCCGCCGCCCGCGCCTGCAGGGTAGGCAAACCTGCAACCGACTGGCGGATCAGGCCCGGTGGCCTGCCGGCGTGGTACACTCGTCACCCCAATTGGAGTAGGGGCAGAACAGAGCCGCCGCCAGCGCCCAGAACAGGCCCAGTGACCTGCCGGCGTGGTAGCCACGACACCCCAATTGGAATAAGGAGAGAGCAGAGCCGCCGCCCGCGCCTGCAGGAAAGATACGCAAGCAGTATGAAAAGACAAGGAAAGAAAGGACCACAAGCAATGCAGGTCAACGCAACTTTAGAAGAGGTAACAGCTGCAGCAGATGGAATGTCAGATAAAGAATTCAGGATATACATGCTTCAGATGATCTGGAGTATCAAGGAAGACATTAGACAGCAAAATCAGACAATGAAAGATCACTTCGACAATGAATTACGCAAACAAATCCAGGAAGCAAAGGATCAACTATACAGGGAGATAGAGGTTATAAAAAACAAACAAACAGAAATCCGAGAAATGCAGGAAGCAATAAACCAACTTAAAAACTCAATGGAGAATACTACCAGCAGAGTAGAACACTTAGAAGATAGAACATCAGACAATGAAGACAAAGTATTTCAACTGGAAAAGAACATAGACAGCTCAGCAAGACTGTTAAGAAATCATGAGCAGAACATCCAAGAAATATGGGATAACATTAAGAGACCAAACTTAAGAGTCATTGGGATACAGGAAGGTACAGAACTCCAAACCAAAGGAATGAGCAGTCTATTCAATGAAATAATACGAGAAAACTTCCCAGACTTGAAGAATGAGACAGAATCCCAAATCCTAGAAGCCTACAGGACGCCGAATGTGCAAAATCATAAGAGATCCACACCTAGACACATTATAATGAAGATGCCCAACATACAGAATAAGGAGAGAATTTTAAAAGCTACAAGAGAAAGGAAGCAGATTACATTTAGGGGTAAGCCAATCAGGATAACAGCTGATCTTTCAACACAGACTCTGAAAGCTAGAAGATCCTGGAATAACATATTTCAAACACTGAAAGAAAATGGGTTCCAACCAAGAATTGTGTATCCAGCGAAATTAAGCTTCAGGATGGAAGATGAAATTAAAACCTTCCACGATAAACAAAAGTTTAAAGAATTCGCAGCTAGAAAACCATCTCTTCAAAACATCCTCGCCAAAGCATTACAGGAAGAGGAAATGGAAAATAACAATGAAAACCAACAGTGGGAGGTAGGACAGTAAAGGGGGGGAAAATAATCAAAGAGGAAAACAAACCATGTTTAGTAACAGAAATAAACAAATATGGCTGGAAGAACAACCCATATCTCAATAATAACCCTAAATGTTAATGGCTTAAACTCACCAATTAAGAGACACAGGCTAGTAGAATGGATCACAAAACAAGACCCAACAATATGCTGCCTACAGGAGACGCATTTGATAGGAAAAGACATACATAGGCTGAAGGTGAAAGGTTGAGAAAAATCATATCACTCATATGGACTTCGGAAACAAGCAGGAGTGTCCATACTCATATCAAATAAAATAGATTTCAAGCCAAAGTTAATCAAAAGGGATAAAGAGGGACACTACATACTGCTTAAGGGAACCATACACCAACAAGACATAACAATCATAAATATTTATGCCCCAAACAATGGTGCAGCTATGTTCGTCAAACAAACTCTTCTCAAGTTCAAGAGTCTAATAGACCACCATACAATAATCATGGGAGACTTCAACACACCTCTCTCGCCACTGGACAGATCTTCCAAACAAAAGTTGAATAAGGAAACTATAGAACTCAATAACACTATTAATAACCTAGACCTAGTTGACATATATAGAGTATACCACCCAACATCAAGCAGTTACACTTTTTTCTCAGCAGCACATGGATCCTTCTCAAAAATAGATCATATATTATGTCACAGGGCAACTCTTAGACAATATAAAGGAGTAGAGATAATACCATGCATCTTA